TCTCGATGTGAAACTATGATGTGCAAAAAATCTCCGAGCTAGATGTTGTAGTTCTCTAGAAACTTCTAACGCAGGCTCAGCCTGGGACAACCTGTAGACACCCAGAGTCTCATTAAAATCGGAATATCGTATCTTAAAAATATGTTTCTCTCTGTTTAATTTGATGCTTTCTAAAGCAAAAAAGAAGACTTTTATATAGAGGAAAATTGTGTTCGTTTAACTTATTTTGATTCTAAATATAAATGTAGTAGTTCTATGTCCGCAGAATATTAGGATACCCTGTATTTGTATTCCAGTATATCGTCTCTATTTTAACCTCACATCCTCAGTTTCGACGAGCAAAATGATTTAGAATCAGGACGCCCTGCTCACATTTCTTGTCTTCTATCACTCTGAACTTGGACGCAACCTCCTCAAGGCTCTATTTCTAGCCTGAGCTCGCTCTAAATTATTCAAATTATCTCTGTATCTCGCGTCCTTCCAAAATGTTAATTGTACCTCTGCGGCGGTAGAGGAACAAGTCTTTCTATTTCTTTGCGCCGACATTAATGTTTAAGATAAACTGCTCGGTGAGGATTTGCCAGAGATTCAGAACAAAGAGAGCGCCTAGTACGTCTCATTTTAATGCTCCTATAACGGATTAGGGAAAACAGGTAACAGATGCAAGCGTTTAACCTAGTTTTGGATTGCCAAGGAGAGAGATATAGAATCGCGAATTGGGGGATGAATTTTAAGTTGTCAGACGTTTCAAAAAGTCGATTCGGTGCGGCCTATATTTTTCTTAAAAAGTCCATATTAAAAAGTGTTTTGACTTGGCGTTTCTTTACTAATTTGATTGCTATACAGAATGGGTCTTAAATAAGCGCAAATATTTTCAGGGCTGGTAGATCTCGATAAAAGGGACACATTTTCTCTTTACCGGTTTTAAAATAAATTCAAAATAACCGAGTTATTTTACTTTGAAAATTTTCCAAAAAAAATGATTTTTTACAAAAATGTTGAGCACCACTGGATCAATTTTGGATTTTTTTTTGGAAATTTAATCTATTACCCATGTTGCCATATTATCAAGAAATTTTTTTTAACTAAAAACATCGTTTTGACCCATTTCTGGCTTCAATTCAATCAGCAATCGACACGAAAGAGAATTAAAAAATATTGACTCAAAACTGACAACTAAAGAGACAGCTTTATTTATTTGTCAAATTACATATACACCAACGCAACGCCAACCCAGCACAATATTTTTAGCCGACCATACCAATAGGTATGGTAGGCTATTAGGATCGGCAAAAAAAAAGTTTTTTTAATTTCACTCAAAATGAGTTATTTGGGTCATAAACACAAATATTTTCGTGGTATCTATAATACAAAATATTTTCGTGGTATCTGTCTGTCTGTCTGCCGTCTGTAACACGATAACTCAAAAACCGCTGAACCGATTTTAACCAAATTTGGCACAAAAATACTGTGGCACCCGAGAATCTGGCCATTAGTTTTTGGTGGGGGTGGGGGGTTGGTAAGGGGGTATAGGAGGGGGTTAAAATTTAAAAAAAAATCGTAACTCCAAAATTACAGTAGCTAGCGAAACGCGGTTTTCAAATTAAGATTAGGAATAATATTTGCAACAAAATTTGTAATAACATCAAAATCAGCCAAAGTCGCAGTTTTCGAGATATTAATATATTTTAGTATGGGCGGCTATACGTGCCCCCCGGCGCCAATTTTTTTTACTCGTAATAAATTCCTTGAAATAATAATTCCTGAATATTCTGAATATTTTTTGGCGATTTCATCGCTAGTGAATTAATCTTTTCGGTCGGCGATAAAATACCATTTTATCCTTGTATAAAAAATAACTATTATTTGATAGAAAATTACATTCTGAGTAGAAGGACAAATCATAAACAATCCAACATTTGACATTTTCGCTTGTATTTCAATTTCAACCTAGAGTGACATGCCATGTTAAAACGACTCATTTTTAATCAAGGAGTCTTGGAAAAATAAATTTGATGGTCTAATGTTTTTCGTAACGTTTCCTGGCTCGTCAAAAGATGCCCAAATCGTATTTTTAGTCGTAACTCAATTTTTTCAAATGATACGAGAGTGGCTCATTAGAATTTTGGAAAAAGCATTTTTTAACGAAAAATTTAGTACCACATGCTTGGTATTTCGAGTCAAATTGTCATCGTGATTATCTATGGCACTCTAGATACGAATTTAAAATACCGTATGATAAAAAAACGGCATCAGCGATGGCTATGAAATAAATATCGCTGTCATTTTATAGTATGTGAAATTATATGGTGAATGTCATGGATGTTCATTTCCAAGCCAACTGGACGCCGTTTTTTTCCGATCATACGGTACTATTATTCTAAGCGAGAATGTCAAGGGATCCATTCACAGTGATTCACAGGAAGTGACCGAAAATAATTGAATACCTATTTCAATCAATCCTTAATTGATAACTTAATCCTCAAAAGTTAATTGTGGATGAGAATACATTACGCTTACTGAGCTTTTTGTATCTAATTAAAAGACAAATCCCAGTGATAGTTTGTTGTTTGTCATTTTATTCACTATGGTGACACAAAATTCGTAAAAACTTTCAAAACGTTTATTTTATTTTTGCATGCATTTTTTTGTCTTGTGTATTTTTTAGTACAAATATACATCTATGGTATCTCATTTTACATTTGATTGAACTCTAATAACAGATCCTTTGCTTGTTTTTTACAGCTATAAAATAATTACAAAGTTGCGTTTATGCCGAAATGAAATGATTTCCGATGGAAATAAAATATCTGGGACGGTCTGCCCTACTGCGTCAAAGAGCGTCATATCAAGTTTCTGATTAACATTTTAGCTTCATTTTTTTATAGAAAATGCTGGAAATGGTAGTTCACATTTTAAAAATATTTTTGTTAATAATAAATGGCGATTTACACTATATTTTCACATTCAAAAATCATTTTACAATTTCTAAAAAATAAAATAAATAAAAATAGATCGCAATATGAGACATATTTTGTCATAATAAGATTAGGAATTAGAGTGTACTGCTTTTATATAAAGAGATCTAGATACTTAACGTAACCTTTATAAATTAGTTTAATAAATTTTAGAGAAATATAATCTCTTAACAGATGCAATCGTTTAGACTAGTTTGCTTTACCAAGAAAAGAACCCATTAAAAGATTGTAGATAAACGAAGCCAGATATCATCGCTGATTATTTTTTATATTACCTACTTACTTAAAATACTGACACATTTACCTCTACGCGCTTTGATAAAATAGAAAATAGAATAGTTATTGTTATAAAATTACGAATTGTGGATGTCATGTAAAAGAGAGTATTTAAATATTTTTTTTATAAAAGTACTATATTACTATAATATAATAACTAGACCAACGCAACCTAATGGGCAAATTCGTGACAACGCTGATTTGATTTTCCCTTACGTCTCAAGTGCTGTACGGTGGAGTCTTTACTCGTGCTACAGCCAACGCATAAAATATTCATTTTCTCTAATTCGGCTAGCGAAGGTATATCGAAGACGGTGTGGAACATCTAAGTGTGGAACTAAAAGCGACAGTCTTGTAATATTAAAATGTGTTATAACTGTAATACGTTTGAAGAAAATATATTTGGATGAAAAATCACAGTTTATCTATTGAAAATTTATTCGTGTTAAACATAGAATAAACAACAAAAATAAAAATTCTATTATAGGTATTGAATATTTTGTATGATCGAAAAAAGTCGTTTAGTTGGCTTGAAAATGACGAAAACTATTGACATTTACCATAATATTTTACATATGAAATAACAGCGATCTTTCTTTCCAAGCCAATTCTAATGACGTCCTTTGTTTAATCATATAATATTTTATATTAAATTGTTTAATGATAAAAATCCGTATTATTAACGTACTGCACCCAAAATCCGTAAATCTACGAATTAATTCGTAGTTCTGGTAGTTCTGGCATACTGTCTCCAGCAAACACCCACCCTGTCGACTGAAAGCTGAACTACGGTACAGTATTCTTTATCCTCTGCGCTGTAAACTACTATCAGCGCTCAGCGGCGCAGGGCTAAACTAAATCTCGGACAGGTTGACGATATCGCCAGCTACATCTCGGATAGGTTTCGTACCACGAAATCGCCCGTAAGGTTGTGCATCTTATTTCTTCAGTCAACGATATTAGTAAATAATAATTTTCTTTGAATATCTTTATGCAAAGTAAAATTCAAAAGGTAATAAATATACGTGTTGTATAAAAAGCCATTTTCTTTGGACCATTTCTTGGGACTCTGACCCAGGAAGACAAACCTCTCGTAGCTTGAATACAAATTGAATTGTGTACCCATTCAAGCTGGGGCAACCTGGTAAACAGATGGCTCAAGTATGTCACAATACGTAGGAGTGCACTGAGACAAGGAATAACTTTCTCTAAGATCCCATCCAAAGATGTTTCAATTTTCCAGGTGGAAATAATGACAATCCATTATTTTATGAGGCAGAAAAGAATACAACGTTCAGATGCCATCTTCATAGACAGCCAAACAACATTCGCCAAAATTTAGTAAGCAAAAACAAGAATATTGACAAAAACGTAGTTGGTCTGCTATCATGGCATTGTAAGCTCATGAGGAAATTAAAGTTTATGAAATTTACCGACGGAGTTATGTGTAAATTTTGTAAATTAGAAGAAGAAACTGTAGAACACATTTTATATCGGTTTGAGGACCTGGCAAATGTGCGGTTCTTTGAATTCATTGTAGTCTTTGAAAAATGTAACCTCAAGAGCCAATATTCACCTCAAAAAATTCAATCTAATATACTTTTTGAGCTTCTAAACTTTTTTAAATTGAAAGGCTTTAATAAATAAAAAAACGTATATGTGTTTGATATTCTCCTATATTTTTTATTCGACTAATGATATATGCTATACTTTATCACCACCTTTAATCATTGTTTTTTATTCTAGGTTCAAGCTTGATGAGAATATATCAGAAAAATTATGCTCACTGTGCGCTGGTGACGTGGACAAAAACAATCCATCCACCAAATGTAATTTCGATCAAACCGAAGCTTACAGTGGTTATACTGGTGCTTTTAGATGTTTGGTACAAGGAGGAGGTGATGTGGCTTTTGTTAAACATGTCACAGTACCTGGAAATACAGGTAAGTTGTTGTCTGTTATTTTAATTTACAGGTAAATTGTATTTTCTGCTAGGATTTTCTGATATTGTTTGGATGTCGTTTGACAATATTCTTCCCTGACTCGTTAGACATCTTTTTCTTCAAGTGTTGTTCCTCGTGAACGTTGACGACTGCCATGTTAACAATATCTCTGTCTCACTCTCGATCTTGCGCTACATGGAGTAATTCATCCGCGATCAAGCCTGTCCACTGCCGCAAGTTCCTCAACCACGAAAGCCTCTTGCGCCCAATCCACGTCTTTCTTTTGATTTTTCTGTTAAGAATCAGTCGGAGAAACTCATATCGAGGTTCTCTGGTTATATGGCCAAGGTATTCAAGTTTTTGTCGCTTGATAATATTCAGAAGTAGTCTGTCGTGCTCCATTCTTCTAAGAACTTGTTCATTTCTGGTTCTGGTGGTCCAAGATATTTTAAGAATTCTTTTCAAACATTTCAAATGCTTCGATTTTATTTATCGTTTCTTTATTACCGGTCTTTGATTATCTGGATGTATTTTGACGTTTAGTGAACTATTTAGGCCCCTATAGACGGACGTTTTTGTACGCGTTTATGTACGCGCGTTCAAAAACGTGCACTAGCACTGCATACAGATGCACATACAAAATCTAAAAATCCACAGTGTTTGAGAGCGATGTCCAAGGAAGTGGTTGAGTTAGCATTGGTAGTAGTGGTGTGCACTGCTGTGCTTCAAACGAAAGTTAAAAAAAACTAACCTAATGTAAATGAATAAACTTCCTAACCGCGCCGTATGTGGTGTAAAGAGTGGCTTCTTCAAAGGTTTGGTCATTTAGTACCAAACTGAAGGAGCATACACTTCATCCGCTCCCGAACCAGATCTCTTAGAGTCAACAACCTTTTTATGTTCCCTTCCTCCAAGTCCTCCCAAATCCTCCCCGAAGACTGTTAAGTTTAGTTATAACTGAAGTCTTAGTCGCGTTTGGCTGAACAACTTGTAGCTTCCTAACTAGATTTGCGTAAGCCTTGTTGTTTTTAGTTTTATCTAAATATTGTTTGGATTTTACTTGCTCAAGACAGGGCATTTCTCTGTATAATTCAATAAATTCCCTCAGAAATTCACGGGACAGTGTTCTACAATCAGACATTTCTACTAATAAATTATTAGCAAAGTCAAATCAACAGAACGCTCCAGCTTTTGGGACCAATCGACGCTACTGTTGTGCGACGCACAGTTCACATCCACACGTTGAGACTTGCAAGAAAATCCTGCGTGCAGGTACAAAATTTCTGTCGTCGCGTCGACAGGAATCATGAGCGTCGTTCAAAACGAATGTGCATTAAAGAACGTGACGTTTCTGTGCATACACATTGACGTTTTTGTATGCACGTTTTTGAACGCACGTACATAAACGCGTGCAAAAACGTTCGTTTGTAGGGGCCTTTTGAGAGCAGCGACTTAAACTTCTGAAATGCATTTCTTGCTTCTTGTACGCGACATCTGATTTCGTATGAAGATCGATAGGTTGGTTAATCCAACAGTCTAGGTGTTTAAACTTCGCCACTCTCTCCAAAGTTTCTTCATTCAACAATAATGAGGTTTCGGCGACATCTACTTTACTCACAACCATATTTAGTTGTATTTGTATTAATAGATAGCCCCTAATTCTTACAAGCTTCATTGGCTCTGTTTACTAATTCTTGTAGATGTACGAGATTTTCTGCTATAATTACGGTATCGTCGACATATCTGATATTATTGACTATTTCTGCTCCTATTACAATTCCTTTTTAGCCACTTGGAGATTCTGTAAATATGTTTTCTGAAAAAACGTTGAAGAGGGTGGGAGAGAGTAGGTATGCATCCCTCTCTCAAGCCCCGTTTAATATTAATAGGTTCTCACCGCAAAAAACATACTGTTATTCACGGTAATAGTAGCTGCCAAACCAAACCAAACATCTTAAAAGATTGTGAGTTTTTCGTCCCCTACCACTCGTTAGAGGTTTTACTTTGTAGCTGTTTGGTTCCAACACATGTACGAAATCAGCCTAATATCTTCGTCATCTAGCTGGATGTTCTGCAGACTTGATATTAGCTTATTGTGCTGGACACGATCGAAGGATTTTTCAAAATCAATAAAGCATAGGTATACAGGTCTTCTTACTTCCCAACACCTGTGCAGAAGAGTTTCCATCGTAAATAGTGCTTCACTGGTTCCCATGCATCGTCTGAAACCAAACTGCTCTGAACTGGTGGCCACCGATGTCTCCACAGGGTTGCCACAAGAAAATTTTTGATTGTGCAGAACTTGACCATAAAAATGTGTAGCATTGTGTAGCCATCCACGACCAATAATTGTAAACTATCCAATAAGGCCAAGAATAAGAACGTAAGTTTCTCCAAATTTTAAAGCATGATTACGAGTCTCACTTCCACTCGTTTGTATACGTCAATTGACGACAATATATTCATTTCCTATTTCATTTCCTTTCATGCCAGCAAATATTGAAGTGACGTCAAAATTGATGCCGCGAAACTAACGATTTTATGGACAATTTATACCGGTTAAAAAAGTCTGTTTAAAAATAAATAGTAAACTATTCAGGACTGTTTAATCGGCCAAATTTATCCATAGAAACTGCAGTCCTTGCTGATATGGAAGGAAGTGAAATAGGAATTGAATAATATTCACATATGCCAACGAGAGGAAGTGTGTCTGAACTACACTGACGTAATTGAGCAGTGAAATTTGGCCAAAGTACGTTTTATGTATTATTTAAGGAATTCCAATCTATTTACCGTTTATTTACCGACAATCCTGTCTATTTACCGTTTTTGACTCGACCAATAGACGGTCCTTGATTCATGACCCAGTTCATACTCTCTGACTTTTACACCTGAACACTGATGACGGAAAATGATATTTGTCAGTTCAAAATTTAAAGTTCACTTGCGGCCTCTCTTAATGTAACTTAGATAACTTAAAAGCAAAAAAAAACAGCTTTTGTCAGCTGATTTACTGTTCTGGTATTATTTTTTATAAGAAATATGTAAATTCTCAAAATGTGTAGCACAGGCGATTGTGGTGTAGCTGTGCAATCAGGGAAGCAAATGTGTAGCAAAATACACAATTGTGTAGCTTGTGGCAACCCTGTGTCTCCAGATATGAATGTGATCGAGCATGCATGGGACATGTTAAAACGCCATATTGCCAAAATGAATGATCCCCCCGTACCTTAAATGAATTGAAAATTGCTGCGCGCGAAACATGGGAAGCCATTCTTCAAAACATCTTCTGGACAACTTAATTGAGAGCATGCCACGTCGTTTCACAGATTGCATTGAGGCTCGAGAAGGCAATACACACTATTAGCTGGATTATAACTAGGAAAAAGTGCTCTGTTTAGGTTTACTTAGTAATCGAAATGGTAGATTATTCTTTTATAATTATTATGGTGCCGTGCAATTGCCCAGTCATTATAATTATTACAGAAATAAAGATGCCTAATAGTGATACTAATAATTTGTAAGAAAATTGTTGCATAGGCGCTGAGAAACTAAATAAAATAAAAACTTGGTATCACATGAGATCTCACAACTTTTTAGTGGAAGAATTGTGTTGCGAGACTTTGTATTTTTTTACATTCTATGGTTTTTATGGGTATTCTATTTCTCGACGACACACCGCCTGTTTTATTGTCTCTATTTGTAAATTAGAAGGTTATAAAAAGTCGAAGAAAAAACGAAAAATAGAGCAAATTAGCCTTGATATCTTTGCTCGTCCTCTAGAGTCCTCCGAAATATTTCATCGGACAATATTTACGTTTGAAACGGTGCCCTCTAGCGCACTGCCAGCTCTTTTTTGGCGCTATCCAATCTGCCTGCGGGGCTTTTAAGGATATCGGAGCGCGAAGAAAAACCTTTTAATTAGGTCGATGGGATGTTTGCTTGTTGGTGGCGCGGATTTATGATGACCTCGACGACTTTTCATTGAAAATTTTTATTGGATCTAATTCTCGGCGAATAGGAAGGAGTGTGGAGAAGGGCCAGGGCCGAACAGATTATGTATTCGAATTACGAATCTAATCAAATTAACCCAAATTGTGAAAAATTACGCGCCGTTCGCGTCCGTTGGAATTTTCTGAATATTATTATTTATTTTTCTTTACAGTGTCTGAATAACTACATTTTCTTTATTTAAAGAATCTTCCATTTTATGATTTACACACAATTCCGTTGTTTTTGGATACTTATGTTACTCTGTATAATGAAGTCGATAGATATGATTTAAATCATTTTAACGACGTTTAGAAATTACTTAGGAATTTTTAGAAAATACATAAGTGTCATTAAAAAGATTATTTTTTATAAAAAGCCTTCAGTCAGATATTTATATATTTTTAAGATAAGTTTTTAGGAGCAGCATATCTTTTTAAAAGTTAGTTTTTCGGAATGGGTTTTGATTATTTGTCATGTTATGGCCCATTCTCACGACTCGTATACTTGACAAACATTTGTAATTAGTATACAGGTTATACATGGTGCGTCGGGCATCTACTCGTATACAGAAAGTTATTTATTATAGGCTTGGTGCATTTCAGTTGATTTCAACAATTTCCGACCGCAGCGCCTCAACGGCAAAAATCTGAAATTATCATTATATAGTTTGCGTTTTTAGTTTGGTTTCATTCATAGGATTCGGTATTTACTGCAGTATGATGATACTATCATGATTTTTCTTATTTATTTTGTTCAGAATTACAAATATTTGTGTTTTGTTTTGGTTGGTTTTTGGATTAATAATATTAAACACATACATACTGCCATTATTCGCTGACGAGTATTTGACACGCATCAGAAGATGGTCACGCAAGGCATTTTCTTTCATGAGCTTTTCTGTGACTGAAAAGCCCAATACGTGATGTTATTTGTCTACCGCACTCCGGACATTCAAAAATCTCATTGCTTTGTTGCCTCTTAACTTTTTGGTTCTCGCTGGTAACTGAGTTTACAATTCTTCTCCATTGCGTTCTATTGTGAGCTGCTACTTCCCACTCATTCTGCACGTTAATCGTGGAAAATGTCCTTGTACCTTTTGAGTTGTCCACCTGGCCTCCTCTTACCGTCTACAAGCTCTACAAAAGCAGTGATTTTGGTATGCAGTTTTCTTGCATTCTGCATACGTGACCAGCCCATCTTAGTCGGGATTTTATAACCATGACTTCAATACTCTCGCAGTTAGCTTTTTCAAGAACCGATACGTTTGAGACATGATGGAACCATTTGATTTTTAAGAGTTGTCTAAGATGTCTTTGTTGCAACTTGTTTGATGCGTTCATGTGTCGGCGGTACGGCACCCAGGATTAATTTAAATAATTAATATTAAATATACCTTTAATAAAATATAACTCTATATTTACATTGCCTATTTATCTTAATCTGATCTTTGAGAACTTTATTTATATTTTGGCATATGCTAGGTATTATTTTTGAAATGCTTTGCAAAAACTTTGAATAAATAACCCAAACTGGTATGTAGGTCTCTAGTTACAAGGAATCTTAAAGTTATGGGCAATCTTTATTTAACTCTTTCTTTAACCGGAATACACTTCCTAAAATTTGTATTTTTTTCTTTCAATACGGGAGCCGACCAAGTTAATAAGTCTTTCAAAATCAGTAGCGGATATACGATAAAAAATATTAAAAAACATTCTGTGTGTTTGTAGTGACAAGAAAGTGTCTCTAGTTACAAGGAATCTTAAAATTATGGCCAATCTTTATTTAACTCTTTCTTTAACTGGAATACACTTCCTAAAATTTCAATTTTTTCTTTCTATACGGGGGCCAACCAAGTTAATAAGTCTTTCAAAATCAGTAGCGGACATGCGATAAAATATTAAAAAACATTCTGTGTGTTTGTAAATCGCGTAGATGTTTACTTTCACTGTACTGTACTGGGATCTACTTTTGAAATTATTAGACATCCAACACAGCCTTTTTTTCTCTTTGTCTCTTTCGTTGCGCAATAATGATCGCCCTAGCAGCCGCTATTAAAGCCGCTAATTATACTTCGGTATTATCCATGTCCGAACAGCATGAACGCAAGCACTACATTACAATGTGGACGCCATTGTTTGCGAGTCGAAAAATCTTCAGAAACATGACAAACAGGAAGCGCAAGCAACGCAAGCACAATCAGAAGCAAAAGCGCGAGCAGGAAAACGGGCATTGTGGACGCACCTTAAGACAGTGATTTAGGCAGCGTAATGGAAAATCAAATGTATTAAAAACAGATAAGAGTTGGGTTGATACGTTTCTTCTATGCGGTATTGTCGGATTTTGCATCAAAAGTTCAAACCGCACCGCACATTTGTACCGCCTACTTAAGCTTGATTTTCATGCATCCGTTACCCGACGATACGATGATACGATCTTAGATTGGTTAACCGTTTCTAATCAATCGATGTCTTTAAATTCAACCAATAAAATTAATATCGTATCAAGTATCGTCAGACAACGGATGCATGAAAATCAAGCTTTAGGCGTTTATAGAAAATGTCTAGGATTGGAACCTTATTTTTCACAATTAGGTTACTCATTTTAGTACAGATATAATAGATTATATTTAGCTTCGACATATTATCTTCATTTCAGTAGTATACATAAAAGTTTTGAAAATAGTTAATATTTTGTTACAAACGTAAAAACCGGCAACACTGTATGCAGCTTTTGATTTTGTCTCTCTGTCTGTCAACCGGTCATTTATATTATTCTGTGTCTTACACGTTAAATTCCAGTGATCCAGTCCACACACCACACTTGACCAAATCGGTATAGGGTAATAGTAATAATAATTTAGAGTATATAGCTCTAAATTATCTAATAATGCTATTTGTTTGCGCTTTTCAAAGTAAATGCTTTTTAAGTAATACTATACAAAACAACTAACAAAACTATATTTCACAACAAAATTAAATACATTTAGAGCAAACCAGTTAAATTTAGAGACCTAGATCAGTCTGTAACTGAAAATGTCATTAGAGAATTTAAATTATTCATCGTCATGTGCCCCAAAATAGGTCGCATAATAAAAGCATTCTGAAATTCGAATCACTGAAATTTTGATAGTTAGTTCTAAATCTGTCGACCGGAAAATTGAAATAGCTGAATTGCATAAAGTGTTAATCAATTTATGGGAATTGAGAGAAGAATAGGAATCAAACTTATTAATATCTTTTATTTTTAATTAAACACTATTTGAGTATTTTGTTAATAAATATTAATAAATTCTGAATTAAAACAATACCACGAATACATTCCACGAATACTTGAATTGAAAAGTATTGAAAATAAATTGAGTATTGAAAATTAAATTATGCACAATTTAAATAAATTTTACTAATTATTTACTCTGGCGCCTGGTATAGGCGCCACGCGATTACTTCCGTCTATAAGACATACGCGAGTACTTAAGGGTTAAAATCTTTGTTTTTAGGTTTTCTCGCACAAAAAATGTATGGCAAAAGCAAATTCATCGTTTAGTTTAATAATGTGCTTTCATATTTTTAATGCCCTTTCTATATATCATTATTTATTGCTATAGACAAAAAGATGAACCTTTTATACAGGCACGTGCGTGTAGGGCAGCCAGTTAGTAGATTGTGCGTGTAGGGCAGCCAGTTAGAATTGGGAAGATACGCAAATTAATGAGTGAATTCGTGACAAGGCTGATTTGGTTTCCCCTTATGTCTCAAGTACGAGTGGAGACAAAAATCGTTCTGCGGTCAACGCATAAAACATTTATTTTCTTTAATTCGGCCAGCGAAGACGGTGTGGACACGTGTGGATCTAAAAGCGACAGTGTTGCCATATTAAAATGTGTAATATCTGTAATACGTTTGATGAAAATATTTTTGGATGAAAAATCCGCGTTTATGTATTGAAAGTTTATACGTGTTAAACATAGAATAATCAACAAAAATAAAAATTCTTTTATAGGTACTGAATATGTTGGTACTCTGTATGATCGAAAAAAAAGTCGTTTAGTTGACTTGGAAATGACGATTATTGACATTTAGTATAATATTTAACATATATTATGAAATAACAGCAATCTTCATTTCTAAGCCAACTCTTACGCCGTTCTTTGTTTAATCATATAATATTATATTAAATTGTTTAATGATAGAATATCCGTATTATTAACGTACTGTACCCAAAATCCGTAAATCTACGGATTAATTAGTAGTTCTGGCAACACTGCCTCCGGCAACCATTCACTCTGTCGACTTAAAGCAGAACTATGGCACAGTATTCTTTATCCGCTGCGCTGTAAACGACTCAGCGCGCAGCGGCGCAGAGCTAAACCAAATCTCGGACAGGCTGACGTTAGCGCCAACTGCATCTCGACAGGTTCTGTGCCGCGAAATCGTCCATAAGGCATTTTCTTATTTCTTCAATCAACGATATAACCTTTTTTTTTTCTTTTTTTCCTTTCACTGTCTAATTTTCACAATACAATAGGTCCTCATGACACTCGAGTAAATCCACATTAACCATCTAGGACTCCCTTACTATATATAGTGGAGGATACAGAGGGGGGACCCATAGGACCCAGGCCCCTATAAAATCTATGAATTGGGTTAAATATTACGCTTTTGGGTTAAAAACGGCGCCCTAAAAAGCATATTCTACATTAGTTTTTATTTGCCCCCCCCCCTGATAACATAACATAAATAATGCAACCTTTTAACACAACAACCTTTTATTATGAAAATATAGACACGTTAAAGCCTTTTGGTGTTTTTGGTTCAACTTTATAGGAAACTGTCATCAACAGGTAGAAATGTTAAATTAATTGTAGCACGTATTAGTACGTAGCATTTTAAATAGGATAGGAATATATGAATATTTATTATTTTGTAACCATTCAGTTAAAATACAATGGTTTTATTTAGTTCATCAAACTCTAACGAAAACAAGACAGAGAACCAAAATGATAAATTGATTAATACCGTCCATGTTTCTCTAATTTGGAACATATACAAACTTGACCGAATTTTACTTTCCTTCGTAAAAATATTTTTTTTTCAATATCTGAATATCACATACCTACTTATAAACCACTTTTAAAACAATCACTAAATTCTGTTATTGATTGAGGCTGTAATTTTTTCGCTATACACACAACTTAACACTAGGTTTATTTTTACTTGCTCTATTTTTAAGTAAAATTAATTTTTATACAAAATGTATCTTTAGCACTTTTTTCAAAGAAATTTAAAGTTTGTGTATGTGTTACGGACAAAAAAAAGTTTTTAGGGCATTTACCATAATACCCTGCCAATAACTTACTAATAAGTACCCAGTTTCTTCGCATTTCTTCAGGTTTATATAATTTTGGTTTTCCACTAGAATTCTAATAGCGGTAAAATTAGTAAACAAAAATATCTTTTGTATCAAATTATTTACAAGATGGTGTTTATCAATAGACGATGATGATATTAAACTTGCTTGATGATATTGCAAAACAATAAATTTTATAGTAACTGCGAATTTGATACTTATAATTTTAAACTCTTTTTTTAACTTCACTCTTGAAAGATTGTCATATTCAATAAAAATGTGACAATTTTCTAACTTCACTTTTGAAATATTTTAATATTATGTTTAAACATATCTTTCCTGTTAAACATAATATTTGCTATATGCAATAAAAATGTGACAATTTCTTTTAAACCTGCTGTTTATAATATTTTTTTTTTGTCAAATAGATGGAAAGAACAATGAAGATTGGTCAAAAGACTTGAAGTCATCCGACTACGAACTTTTATGTCCAGATGGAGGAAGAGCACCTGTTACTGAATATGCCAAGTGCCATTTGGCTCACGCTCCTCCACATATGGTGAGTACTATGTGTTGATAAAAAAAATGAGAACACAGTAACAGGGGTGGATGGGCCATATGGGAAAACGGGAAAATTCCCGGTGGGCGGGTGGGCCTGTCCCGATCAGAGCTCAAAAAAGATTGGATTAGCAAAAATTAAGTGGTTAATCTTCTAACTAAAGTGACGTAAGATTCTTAGTGATCCATAACTAACTAATCAATTTGCATCAGTATAATTGTCAGTTGATTTTAAACATAAACACCAACTTGTAAAATAACTATTCTAAGATGTCTTTCTCTGAGACACTTATAATTTTAATAATCATCTGTTGTTTGTTCAGTTTGAAAATTTTTATTATACAAGGTGAGTCTATAAGTGCAAATATTTTCAGGGCTGGTAGATCTCAATAAAATAAATATAACATATTCTCTTTATCCAGTTTCAAATAAGTCCAATCGAGATATTAAGTCTGGAAATTTAAAAAAAATAGATTTATTTTTAAAAAAATTTGAGCCACCCCAATTTTTCGGAATTTGCATCTCTTTTAGTACCGTAATATCAGAGATTTAGAAACTACCGTGGGCTAGAAACTACCGTGGTTCTAAAAAGTTTTCTAAAATATTCAGAAAATGCTCGATTTTTAACATCTTTTTTTTTACAAAAAAAACTCTTAGACGTGTTCCTGGGGTCGAAATATACCACCCCTGAAAATATTTGCACTTATTTAAGACTCACACCCTTATAGTTTTACCCACTATTCTTTTATTAATAACTAATAAATATGACTGACTGACAGCAAAAAAAAAGAACGAATAGCATTAAGTAAATTTAAATAGCCTCGATCTAAATGTATTCTAAGAATACGGTAGCGTAGATGACAATTGGGGGGGGGGCTCGGTGCAATATTTTTCGAGCTCCCTTTGTAAAAAGGTAGAAAATTTGACGCGAACTCTGCGGTTGACGGAGAAAACATATCTATGCTTGGTTTGAATTGGGGACGGACTAAAAGCCAAGTCTGAGATCTAAAAGCTAAGTCTAAATTGTTGTTTAAAATGTTGCTAAAATGAATTTGTTTAAAAAATACTGAAACAGCAGAGAAGAGTTAAATAAGGTTTAAACTAGATTAGATAATAAAATATTAATATGTCTCGAAAATCCAAAGATACATACAAGATGCCAAATGTAGAAAAGTATAGAGGAAAAGTTTCGCGATAAGAACTATACAATAACTTAAAAAATGCTGCAGTTTTAATGGCGACCGCGGTTCATTCAGTTAAAAACACGTGTACACGAGGAGGTTGCTGCTGTAGCAGAAAAGAGAGAATTTCTTTTTACAATGTGTAAGAAAGTTAAAAAGTAACACCCGAAAAGCTAAAAGTAATGTATTTCACAGAGGATTGGGTCAGTTGAACTGAATGAATCAGGAAATCTTAAAGTTTCTCAAAATCCTGACTCAAAATCGTAGCCTATTCAAGATCAAATTACCGGTATCGATAATGGAAATAAAGCAGTAGAACCCTATAAAACTCTGCCATTTTGTAGTAAAAATTCAGATGTCCGACCCAATATTGGTCTTTAAGAAATTTTTGATTATTACAATTTTTTTTAAAACAAGAGCTTTTTCGCACGAACGAAAAACACCCTTACTTATATATTAATAAATAAAATATATGTTTCTTCGTTAGGGTTCATTTTGTTTTTGTGGATTTCGGCCGGTTGCCTGTTTTTCCCGGGCCGGTTTCCACTTCCCCATCCACCCCTGCAGAGTAAGCAAAATCACCCCATTACATCAAAACACTTTATGTTTTGGTGTAAGTGTTTGTAAAAAGTGTTTTGGTGTATTGTGGTGATTTAGTGTTTTATTTTGTTGTTGTAACACCAAAGGTTCGAACCCCCAACTGTAACACGGTAAGCGCTGAACTAACATTTCCGTTACTCATTTCGTAACATTTTGTTGAAATTGTATTAATAAACTAATAGGCGTAGTCTATTTCAAACTCATCTACTCATTTTGAAGATTGAAAACAAAATGTAGGTGGTGTGGTTTGGTAGCTGGTAGTATTAATACTTCTATAAAGTATAATTATTCGCCGCTTTTCGTCTTGGAGTGGTGATGACCTAATACAAACCCAAGACCAAGACTCTTGCAGTCTAATAAGTGGTCTTGACCTTGCTCATGCAGGGTCTGGTCTTGATCTTGGTCTTGCCGAAAGACTCGTGCACTTTTTTAATAGATTTTTACTAAAGGCATTTTCTACATTAATATTCTAAATAAGTAGTATTATAAGTAATTTAATGCAAATCAAACTTTAAAGAAGTCGAGAAAGTACTATTGAAAACTATTTTCAATAAATTGAAATAGTAGATAATTTTGAACAAAACTTTTTAAAACATATATAATCCAATTCATATAGGTTCAATAAACTTGAGTGCCTTATCTAATACGGCAATATTCAGTATGTTTCGACAAAAAAGCCTTTATCAACAAAAAATTCAACAAAAATAGCTACCACAAATTAGAAATAGTTTTGAGAGGGTAAATACATTAAACTTTCGTTATTTGAATTATTATTATCTATGAGAAATAACTAAAAAAACGTGAACAAAAACTGCAAGATCGCAAGGTCTTGTATGGGTTTGCGGGTTGGTCTTGGTGTTGCAGTTCCAACACTAGTCTCGGTCTTGCTTGTTGTACATCACCAAGATCAATACCGCAAGACCAAGACAAGTTGCGCTCATCACTATTTTTGGGATAAAACATCATAGTATAGCATTATTAGCAACCTTTTCTTATAATTGTCATTTGATTCAACGTTTATATAATAAAGTTTATTTTTAACTAAGAATTAGAACTTAGATTTTTTCTTATTTGTTTTGAAACACCCTGTATATAAATATAAATTCCCTAAAAAAATACTTGAATAATTATCAGTACCTTTACATTCTATTCTTTTTAATTGTTTTTCTAAATGCTGCTAAAAATTTTACTAAAAGGTAGTGGGAACTACAAAATTTAAATATGATTTAAAAGAGTAACTGGTGAATGCGAAATGTCAAAACAATGATTTGCAATTGAACTTCTATTGTATTTTTTAGATTAGTTATAATTGCAAAGTGTTCGTTTATTTTTAATAATTTGTTTTAATTATTTTCCATTTCAGGTTGTTACCTCTCATTCAAAGACTGATGCTGACATCGATGAAATCAAGAATGCTCTTTTGATGGCTAGCAAGGAATATACTGAAAGACCTGATTATTTCAAGCTTTTTGGCTCTTACAACGGAAAGAAAGATTTGCTTTTTAAGGTTAGTAGTTTGCTAATGAAAACTTATTACATTTTATATTTAATTCAAACTCATAAACAAAAGAAAATATATTTTTTAATTTTCAACAAAAATCTTAAAAAAATGAGATATGTGGTACATCTTAACATACATTCTCAGTTAACATTACAGTTGTTTGTTTCTAGTTACTTTTGTAAATTTTAATTACAAAAGTAACTAAAATTTAAATTATTATTTATTAAAATTTATTTCATTATTAAAAAAACATATTTTAAATTTAAATTATTATTTATTAAAATTTATTTTAAAATTAATTTTAATATTATCTGATGGTAACATTATTTTATATTACAGGATTCTGCAACTGGTTTAATCTCCATTTCAGGAGAGTCTGAAATTCAGAAGAAATATTCCCAACTATTAGGAGTTATAAACTCTTGTTCCTAATCATAAGATTTTTTTCTAATACTTTGTAGTTATAATGTTTCTAATTTTGTAGAATAAAAATATACACATTTATATTTTAGTAGATGTATATTTTCTGGTTTTATTTATTTATTTTTTCCTTAGAGTACCAAGAAATATACTTTTTTCACACTGAGCCTATATATGTACAGGATCATTCTCTTAACTTAAATCAAACTCAGTAAGTCATTGAAAAGTCGTCGCGGTGCGTCGCGTCGGTTAATTTTAAGCACTATGTTTTTGTTTTTATGAATTTATTTCAATTTGGGGAATCACCCTGTATAGTAAACCCATGGAAGTTTGTTAACCATCTTTTTATAAATATATTTGTACTAATAATAGAATAGGTAGATATAATAACAATCTTTATTATTGAAAAAAAAGAATTATTTGTATTAAGAAAAAATATTTCACGAAGCATAATACGTGATTGGTTTTCTCTTTTACTTATTTATAAGTGACCTCTATATTTTAATATCTGCTGTATATTATTATTTCTGTCATACTACTCCCGTTAATTAAAGAATTACCTCATTTGTCTCAATTTTATAAAATTAAATTTGCTAGGTATTTGCTTAAAACGACATTTAATTTTTCTTCATCATGATATTAATTTTTTGTATACTTAAAGCAATTGTTATTAATAAGTAATTCAATTAAACATAATAATATGATTAATTAAATGATTGGTATCTTTTTTACTACTATTTAATAGAAAACTTTAAAACTTTATTGACTTTTAGTAGTATATCAGTAGAATAAGGGCAAAATCAGTAGAATAGGTTAGGCAAAAACACAAAAAATAGAACATGTGCCAAACTAATCTTGTAAAATCTAAAAATACGGAATATTAATCAGTGGCGTACCTAGGTAACCAAGGGCCCTGGGGCATATTAAAAAATGGGGCCCACTGCTATGTAAACTAATTAGGTTTTTTCAAATAAAAATACGAAATATACAAATACTTTAAAAATGCTACTCGTAAGCTACTTAAGCTCTTTTTTGTGCACTGCCTGGGCAGGTAATAAAAATATTAAACAGTAACAACATACCTTCAAATTAATACTTCGTGTAGGTTTGGCTAATAAAACGAAATAGAGAAGATTCAATTCAAGGGTTTATTATATAAAGGTCGGGGCTACCAACTGACTAAATAACAATTATATTTACAATTTTTTCCTAGCTTTAGTTTTCCTAAAAGTATCAACTTTGTTTAAATCCAGGCTTGATCTGGTTTCGTTTTCAATTGCTATTAGCGATAAATGTCGGAGTCGAGTTTGACCCATATTATTACTTAAATAATTTTTTGTCATACGCTCCCAAAAACAGCTATTTTACGGACTCATTTCAGTCCGTAAAATGTTTCTTTTTCGGCCTAGGCCGTAAAGGTCGTCATGGCAACCTTTATGGACTAAAATGTCTAAATTCGTTATTTGGTTGTTTTATTTTGTCATTCGAAATTTGTCACAAAATCACATAAAATTATACATATATTTATAATTAAATTATTAAATACTAACAATATCAAAAGCTAAGTTATTTGTTTAAAGTAAGTACCTAGGTACCTATTTAAAAGAGGCTTTTAAATTAAAATATTCTTAAATTACAGTCACAAACATTCAAACCATCGTCAATTTGGTCGAAATATTCCATGCTGAGAGCAGTGTTAAGTGTTAAAGAAGATATTTATATTGACAAATTTCCAAAACTTATTGCTTTTTTGAAGAGGAATTCGGTTGGTTACGAGCCTAAAAAGTCTAAGGTTTTGTCCATAAAAGAGATCGGTGATTCCACGGCTAGTGATGAAATTTATTTACTTACTAAGGTAAGTTTGCGATAATGATTTTTAAAATATATAGATGGTTTCTTATTCCATTGTATTTGATTTTTAAATTATTAAATACTAACAATATCAAAAGCTAAGTTATTTGGAAAAATAAAAATGAAATGAACAATTTTGTGCATTTTGAAAACTTGCATCTGCAATCGAAACGACTCCTCCATTGGCAGGTAAATTTACTTTCTGATGAGGTGGAGTAAATGCGAACGATGATGTACTTGGTAATACATCCGTGGAAGTGGTCGCGATTTTCTTTTCCCCCATTAGCAGTTTGCAAACTTTCTTCTTTTTCTCAATAGATTCTTCTATGTAACCTTCGGCCACTGTGGACGACCTAAATAATTATTGTTGTTTAGAACAAGATCGGAAAATATTAAAATTTTTACCTCCAACCTCCTAGGCGTTTCAGCGATGTAAAATCCACATCTGCATCTGCAGCAAGAGTAGCAGAACTACGTCGGAAACAATGACCTGTATATTCGTTTGGGTTCGACAACTTTAAAAATGCTGCTACAATCGATGGCATCTTCCCAAATGAATGAATGCCGACTCGTTGCACGGTGCATTTTCCTTTACGATAAGAGATGAAGACATAATCATGTGGTACATTTTTTGGCCTAAGACAAGCATATTTTCTATACAACTCAACTGGATTGACAACGTTCCCTTCGTTCACCACCGGAAACACTCTTTTGATATTAGTTTTTGTATCCGCAAGGGTAACTAAAAGGCAGCTGTTGTCTTTTTCTATGATGTCTTGCACTCGTAGAGAGTACAATTCTTCTCTTCTACATGCTCCACAAAGGCCAATGACAAGAGCTATCTAAAAATCAAATACAATGGAATAAGAAACCATCTATATATTTTAAAAATCATTATCGCAAACTTACCTTAGTAAGTAAATAAGTTTCATCACTAGCCGTGGCCAAAAAATCACCGATCTCTTTTATGGACAAAACCTTAGACTTTTAGCTCGTAACCAACCGAATTCCTCTTCAAAAAAGCAATAAGTTTTGGAAATTTGTCAATATAAATATCTTCTTTAACACTTAACACTGCTCTCAGCATGGAATATTTCGACCAAATTGACGATGGTTTGAATGTTTGTGACTGTAATTTAAGAATATTTTAATTTAAAAGCCTCTTTTAAATAGGTACCTAGGTACTTACTTTTCGTGGAAATAATTTAGCAATACATCTTCATTTACAACGAATACGCCATTTTTGTCTTTCCATTCATTAAAAACATCATATTCTTTCTGGTAAATGGCACGAGACTTCACAGGAAGTAAATCCAACACGATTTCTTTGGCCTTATTAGCAATATGTTCGGGATTTTGGAACATTTTAAAATTGTTGATGAATTTGTGTGATTTTGTGACAAATTTCGAATGACATGTCAAAATGCGATGAAATAAACAAACTCGTTACTAAGATATGAATTTATAAGCCAACTTTTTCAAACATTATAATTTCAAATATGGAAAATTTGCAAATATGCGTTCTAAAAAACTGTAAAAAGCGTATGACAAAAAATAGTGTATGTAACACGTACCTAAATTATGTTTTTTAGGACTCATCTACTATTTCGGTACTATTCGGTATTCGGGTACAAACAGTAATGATTCGTCCTAAAAAACATCATTTTAGGTACTAGTTACATAAATAGCTATTTTGTTATTTTTAATTTGCTAAATGACCTTTCAGAGGTGACAGGAATTGTAAAGAATAATAACATTGCTGTAAATACTTCCGTTAGGTCGCATTCTAGCACTCCATATTTGCTCATTATTTCCTTACATAATTGGTGAACAGTCCATGCTTGAGATAGTTGAGGTAAAACTAGGTGGTAAATATTAGTAAACTGAAGTGAAAAAGTAGGGCCTATTATATCTGAATATTTTCTTTGGAATTCGTCACACTTTTGTAATAAAGTTGCTTCATCAACATGTAATAAAAATGTTGGTGTTAGAAAATCGAATATATGACAGACTGCACTGATACCAATAAAACGTGTATCTAATTGAGATATTACTGTGTCTAGTACATTATTGAAAATCTCAATTTTAAATATTTTTTCTCGGTTTGGAAATCGGTGATCAGCAGCTAATTCATCAAAATGTTTTTTAACTTTTCTGTGCCTTTTTTCTTGAAAATGGGTATCAATACCATATTTTCTTACAGTTTCACTGGCTTTGCATTTGAATGATTCGATATCATTTCTATAAATTTGCAACTTTGTTTTGGTCTCTTTACTTTACTCGCCTCGCCCAAATTGATGTCACATTTTTGTAAAATCTGTCCGCGGACCTGAACTAATGTACTGTTTGACCAGCGGATCTGAAGCTACGGAAGGAATGCGAGAAAAAAAAATCGACATTGCCACGTTTATCTATAAAATTGCAAAATTGCCAGACATGAACTATAAATTTAATATATTTTTATTATATATAATGTGTTTAGCATATATTTTGACGTATATTACTAAGGAATTTTAACGTAGATCATATTGTTCGATATGTTTTATTTAATAACTTATTTCTTTCATTCTGTATAATCTGCTTATTATGAAAGTTGAAGATCTTTCAACGATATCTTTGGCAAACCGGCATCGCCGCGCATGGCCGCCTATTCATCGAATATGATTGGCGAGAGTACGTCACAGGATTTGTTACCACGCGGTTGCCATGGCTTTTACGCCTTTCCTATTCGCTTGCTTTATCCCCAACTTCAGGGTCACTTCTGAAAAGAGTAGGAATATTGAATACTATTGAAATATCCAGTGGCGGTGTCATTTTTTTGATCATTATTACTTTATTTCATTATTTTATACCGGTTATCCTAAACTTTATTCCTATATTTTTCATATATTTGATAGTTAAGTCGTGTTTTATTGTTTTGTTATAACATGTATATAATGTTTTTCGTTCATAGTTTTTAATTATTAATATCAAGCTTGATCGTATATTTGTATTTTAAAATGAATAAATTTGTTAAGGGTAAGACGCTACATAGTCAGACAAGAGAAATAATAGCTAATTTATATAGGTAAGTTAATAATAACGTGGATGAAATCTCATTTGGTTTATTGCCTTGTGTTCATAATAAGGTTTGCGATGAAGAAGCTACAGAAAGTTCGCTTAAGTTGCCGCTTAAACGTAAACTTGAGCGGATATTTTTTATACCAGAGTTAGCGTATCGGCTATAAAAAAATCACACAGAAGATAAAAAA